CCATTAATATTAAAAAGTTAATTTAAACTATTTTTTTCAGAATGCACTTTATACCTATTCATCTTGTTTCATCTGCCAGAGTATCTCAATATTTTTCCAACCACTCACCCATTTTAGTAATATAAAGCACATTTGTAAGGCACAATTCAGTAATTAAAATTAAGTCATCTTCAAGTATGCATATCTTGCAATGTATACCTAACACCCGTTATTGAAGAGGTGTAAGGAATAATCATTAGTTTACTATTTATTGTATCATAATACAGTTTTGAAAAAATAGAACTGCATTCTCATTTTAGAAATAGCTTATTCTGGTTTTTCTATTTGTTCTAAAACTCATTAGACACTACATTTGTCATTTTATGGTCTAAAATATTTCCTCACTGTCACTGTCACTGTCCTCCCGTTGTTCATCGATTTGCTCAAGCAGGCCCAGTAATGTCTCCATTGTGACACTTGTTACTATGTTTGGCTTATCAAGTACATCACGGGGAGCTTGCCAGGCTTTGCCAGGTGGGCGAGATACTCTCAGTAGCTTACCGAGCTCTCCGAGAGGGGTGGAGGAATCGAACTCGGGTCGGCCATGTTGACCGCTTGCAAGGCAAACGCCCTACCCACTGTGCCATCGCTCCAGACCAAAATATTTCCTATATGAATCAATCAGTCATTAATCATTGTAAGTTCATGTGTACTAAGCGTTCTTATTCCTTCATAGTGATGAAAAAAGATCCGAATGTTCAATAACTTATTCATGGTAAATGAGAGAGACTGTGTTCAAATCCAGAGTGTTCTATCTTTAAACCCTATCCATGTTTTTTGTTAACATCACAGCACTACTTTTAAATTAAAAAAATAAAAATCTGAACTCCTATATAGATTAGCACTGTCCTCCCATTGTTCATTGAATTTGCTCGGCACCAGTAATATCTCCATTGTGAAACTTTGTTGTTACTGTTTTTGGCATATCAAATACATCACGAATAGCTTGCCAGGCTTTGCCCTGCGAGAGGGATACTCTATATAGATTATCAGAGTGTAAATATCAAACAAAAAATTAGTAGGTCATTTTCATGTTATCAAGTAAGTTTGAAGATACAGACTCCATCTAGGACAGCCAGGAAATCTATTTATCTGGAAACTCACACATATGCCTTATCCTGTCTCCTAAACTAGCCATTCTTCTGAGTATGTTGGGCATCCCTACTAACAGCAAACGGTCATGCAGTAAAGTCTTCACAGGCCTGCCTACAGCTGCCTCTAATTCCTCTCTTCTTATTCTCTGCTGAGCTTCTGCAATCAGGTTTTCATTTCCATCAATTCATTGAGATTGCTCTTTCATCAATAAGTTCCACACGGTCAGATACAAAAGTAAAATCCCCAGTCCTTGTCTAACCTGATTCATTATCAGCATATGACTTAAATTAATCATTCTCATTTTTTTCATTTGATGTTCAGTATTTCTCTCTTGCTCCTGGTACTCAGACTATTTTACTAGAAATTCCACTTTAGTCATTTCACCCCTTCTTCCTCACCTTCCTGACTATATGGTTAATATACCCCAGAGCTCAGGCTACAGACCTCCCTCACAAGTAGCCACACACACGTCTCAGGTGATCCAATATAGTCTCTCTATGGTAATGATTCCTAAAATACTTTTCTAGAATTTTTAATTGGGAGGAGGTGGGCACACCAGGTGATAAACAGAAGCCACTCCCAGCTCAGTGCTCAGAGACTGCTCTGGAAATGTTTCGGCAATGTTGAGGGGACCATGGGATCAAACCTGGACTTTGCACATAAATAACATGTGTCTAATACATAGTTATTGCTCTAGAGTCCAAAGATGCTCACCTTTAACCCAAATTCCTTTCATTTAATCTGAACAAAATACATCTCTTATAAAATTACTACAACCTGTTTTTTTATTTTTAGTTTTCTTAATAAAATTGGTGGCTGGTCCTGGAGGTCTTCAGCTGCCGGAGCCCTGGCCGGGGCGGGGAGGAAAGCTCAACCCGCTCCCCTCCAAGGGGCTCCGGCGAGGACAGCCAGGCACGGGGGCAGGAGACTGCACTGTTCTCTTCCGGGAGCTGGTTTTTATAGTCTCTGAGTCTTGGCCGTTGATGGGATTATACGGCGCCAGGGGGCCAGTTGGTGGGTGTGACCCCCGCCTACTGGAATTTGGAGGATCTGGGTGGAGGATGATCTCATGCTGAGACCACTCTCCGCACACATGAAGGTACTGGCAGAGGGACAAAGCCACGCGGGTTTCGGGGTCGAGATCTCCAAGCCTACTCGGATTGGGGTCGAGCATCCTCCACCCAGATCCTCCAAATTCCAGTAGGCGGGGGTCACACCCACCAACTGGCCCCCTGGTGCCGTGTAATCCCATCAATGGCCAAGACTCCGAGACTATAAAAACCAGCTCCCGGAAGAGAACAGTGCAGTCTCCTGCCCCCGCGCCTGGCTGTCCTCGCCGGAGCCCCTTGGAGGGGAGCATGTTGAGCTTTCCTCCCCACCCCAACCAGGGCTCTGGCAGCCGAAGACCTCCAGGACCAGCCACCACCATGCTGAGACCACTCACCGCACACCTGAAGGTACCAGCAGAGCGACAAAGCCATGCGGGTTCCGGGGCCAAGATCTCCAAGCCTACTCGGATTGGGGCCGAGCATCCTCCACCCAGATCCTCCAAATTCCAGTAGGTGGGGGTCACACCCACCAACTGGCCCCCTGGTGCCGTGTAATCCCATCAGCAGCCAAGACTCCGAGACTATAAAAACCAGCTCCCGGAACCGCGTGGCCGCAAATGCGGCCATGCAACATCTTATTATGACACCTTATTATCTCATTCCTACTTTGGACAAACTGGCAGGCTACCGAATGTAGCCTGCCCACACGGCAGAGTCTGGCAAACTCCCCGTGGCGTACCCAATATGCCAAATACCAGTAACAATGATGGGTCTCATTCTCCTAAAGAGCCTTGAATATAATCTCAGGGCTAGGATGAAGGAGACGTTACTGGGGCCTGCTCGAGGCAATCGACGAATAACAGGAAGATTTGTGATTTGTGATTTGTGAATAAAATTAAGTGAACCTATATAGAGACATTTAAGTCAAAACCTTTAAAATTATGTTAGTTTCTTCTCTAATGCCTCATGTCTAATCCCAAACCAGGTCATCCCTCCTCTCAAAACGTATCCAGCATCACCCATTCTGTATACTCCTCTCTGTTACCACCTCAATCCAAGACATCAACATCTCTCATTTAGAAAACATCGTTGTGGGAAATGTTCACTGGTGAAGGGAAGGGAGGATGGAACATTCTAAGAGGGAAACCTAATCATGAACAACCTGTAACTGTGTATCTCACTGTGATTCAATCAAAAAATTAAAAAGCAAATAAAAAAAGGCCTGGAAACCCTGAAGAAAACAATGTTCTTAGTCTTTTTCCTTTTTAAAAAGTTTTATTTTTATAATTTATTACATTTAATATTCAAACATCAACCCCACCACCACTGTACCTTCCCACCACCACATTTCGAATGTTTCCACCCCAAATCCCAAATTGTGCCCCTCAAAGCTTAATACATCAGACGTATAGAGTAAGAGATCTCGCTTCAGAAATACTAAAATTTAGAATACAATTATACAGCAGATTCATTCATGGGTCCTCTTTAAAAACAACATTTTTTTTTCCTCTTTGGGCCACACGTGGTGGTGCCCAGGGATTACTTCTTGTTCTGCACTCAGGAATTACTCCTGGCGGTGCTCAGGAGTAGGGTGCTGGTGTTTGAACCCAGACAGGCCACATGCAAGGCAAATGCTACCAGCTGTACAACTGCTGCAGCCCCATCTTCCATTTTTATAGGTAAGGGATGATAATTCCACCCCCTTGAGAGATCACTCCCTCTGAAAGAAGGAAAAAGGTGAGGCCCACTGAGATAAGAATGTAGTGGCTTTATCTTACATACATATGCATTAGGCTTTCACAAAGATGAAAGATGTGAGTAGGAGATGTTTTAGCAGTCTTTATTATCCAGTCTGACATAACACAGGAGGGAAGCAGGGATTCAAGACGCAATCTTATCCAAAACCGCACAGGTAGAGAGCACATCTCCTGCAAAGCAACTTGGAAACCTGATAGATGCTACACTATAAAACAAGAAAAGGGAGTCCTGTAATCTGGCACCCAAGAGTAATCCAATACAACATTTTTCCAGAACTGGAGAGTATAGGGGGTTAAAATGCATGAGTTCAGGTGGCCAACCCCAGTTCAATCTATGGCACTGCATACAGTTCCTGAGCACCACCAGTAATAAGCCCTGAGCACAGCCGTGTATAGCCCATCAAACCCTCGCCATCTCTCTCAAAAGGACATTTTCACTATCAAAGAAAGTCACCATGAGATCTTCACAGGTTACTTTCCTATATAATCTCACCATGAGCAAATCAATAGACAGATTGAAATACGAGAACGAAGCTTAAGCTCAATAAAGGATATCACTTTTCAGAGTAAAATAATTTTTAGATAGCAGATTTATTTTATCTTAGACTCTTACCAGATGTCTGAAAGTCTGAGGCAGATTCCTTCTGAGGTATTAACACGGAGGGACTCATAAAATAGGCCTTGTCCCAATGCTACACAAATAGAATCCAAGACTAAGCAGACTTATCCTAACCTAGGATGACATTCTAATCAACAAAAATTTGGTAAGGGCACAGTCCTGAGTCAAGAAACCTATAAAGTTAGTTTTGCCATTAAATGTAGGACCCTGAATAAGAAAAGCATTATGAATTCGTACAGCTATAAATTGCATGATTCTGTGATTTATTTACTGTGTATATACTATTTCTCAGTCACTGAGTTGGAGTGAGTCATATGAATAATTTTTAAAAGTTTAGACACTGATACTTTAGAATTGAAATAAACAGAAGACAACCTAAATATTCCTACATCTTCATTAGTCACAAAGAAGATAGCCTGAAAAAGCAAATTAAGTATGTACCTTTCAGTGCTGTAGTCTTTTCTTTTTCATCTGGACCTCCCTGCTGGATTTGTGCCATGCTTTTCCAAATTGGCAACAAAATTAAAGAGTTCAAGGAAATAGACATCAATCTTCAGAAGACAGTCTAGAATGAATGAAAGCAATAAATTAAGCTCTACTCAATCCTACCTACTCCATGAGAACTTCCTAGATCCTCCCTTTTGGAATTAATCTCTCTACCCTGATTTCCCACTGTACTTTGTTGATACTCCTATCACAGTACTTATCATAGCCTGCCTTGCATTATTGTTATTTATGTATTTGTCTGAGTCAGCTAACAGATTACAAGACCCAGGACAGAGGTATCAAGGTTTTGTCATCTTTATTTATGTCATTCACATCAACAAATACAATATCTAATACATAAAGATACCTAATGTTGCTAAATTTAATTTTACAAAATGTACATTATTTAGGCTTTATTCTCCATTACCACATGTTTAAAAATATCTCCAAGTGGTTTTAAAAACTTGATTTTTAAAAAGAGAATTAACTGTCATTCATAAGGGTCGAATGTCTTTTTTCTGGACAAGCAATCAGAAGGAAAAAAATATGCAAATATATAAAAGGCTTTACGCTACCACTAGTATAATTTAAAATACAACAACTTCACGAAAGAAATAAGACATAAAATAAAACTATGCTCAATTTAGTGTTTATAAACCATACTCTATAAATGGCACTCATGAAGACAATTATAAAATAATTTATTAAAATATAATTTTCCCCTCAGGTCAAAGAGAGGTATTAAAAATATAGACGATTCTTCCCAGGGTATCCACAAACGGGGAAAAAAACACTCCCAAAGCTTGAGAAAAAAATATGTGTGTGCAAACACGTACACACACACACACACACACACACATACACACACACAGAGGAATAAACTAATTAAGAAAATCCATAACTATTAATAAAATTATATATAAATATTACATTCATGACAACAGTAAGACTGACCATTCCTCTTATTGAGGAAACTAATCAATTTGCTGCCCACAAAGAAACGCTTCTTTCCATTCAAAAGTACACTTGAAATATCCCTAAAAATCAAAGCATTTCATAGTAAAGAAAAATGTGCATAAAATACTTTTTAAATATACAGGAAATGAATATTTTTTATTACGAACATTCCAAATGGCCATAAACTAATGCTGCCCTTATCTCTAACAATGGTGGAGAGGTATCAGGGACCTTGACAAAATTAAACCTCACTGCATCATTTTCTACATCTATAGAATGGGAAAAACATAATCATGCTTTCCTCATAACATTACAGTGAGTAGAACACAGTATAGTGTCTGATGTGTTATTAGCTGCTCAATATACACTGTCTTCTATGTTTAACTGTAAATATAGCCTGGTTTCACTATTTTTATAACTGTGTGGCCACCAACAAGTCATTTATCATCCATCATTACTCATTTATCAAATGCAGCTCGGATAACGGTGGTTGAGAATTAAGAAGTACAGAAGGTATGAATAGCTGATTGTTGGTGTTACTAGGAGTATAACTGCTCTGCATATAGTGTGAGATTTCAGCATAAGACTGACTAGAGGAGCCTGCAAGGTAGGACAGTGGTAAGGTCCTGGCCTTGCACACTGCTGACCCTGATTCAAGACCCAGCACCCTATGGTTTCCTAAACACCACCACCAGCAGTGATTTACGAACACAGAGGCAGGAGTGGCCCCTGAGCACTGTCAGGTGTGGCCCCAAAGTAAAATAAAAGAATGATGAGAATATGTGAGTACTTTTGATTGGGAAGTCATTTTCATATACAATGAAAGCGGTTGTAACTTTTCTTCTATGAGCAGGTAACTTAAAATCCTCTAAATTGTACTTGTATTTGCCTCATCGAGTCTCTAGTACTTAAGGAAGGATATGCTAGTCTATATGGCAAGCGAAGTGCAGGACACTTGGGATTAAATGTTGAGCAGCAGATACGGTCATTGTTCATGTAAGGACTCACTCCTGCTATCAAAGCAAACTGCTACACAGTCACAAATAAATATATGTGATCCAACTGAACATTATAATGCTGGTATACAATGCAGTCTTCAATGGCCAGAGCAATAATACAGCAGATAGGGCGATTGCCTTCCTCGTGGTTGACCTGAGTTTGATCCTTAGACTTATACGGCCCCCCAAGCACTGCCAGGAGTAATTTCCAAGTGCAAACCCCGGAGTAAACCCTGAGCATCACTGGGTATGATTCCCAAACAACAATAACAACAAAATGCAGTCTTCATAAAGGCTATCTATTTACAATCAAGAGTGAGTCTAATCTGTCCCATGTTCATGCACATTTCACCAGCAACTCCTTACTATACGTCACATTGACAAAAAAAAAAGAGAAATGTTCATGAGATTACATGCAGTGTTTGCAAACCACTCCACAACTCAATGAACTACCAACTTGCATTTTTTAATCTAGCCCTCTTGCATTTTTAATCTAGCCCTCTGCTTCTTCAAAATGTCTTCAAAAGTATAAATTGTCTAATTATTTTTCACTGGTCTCAAACTATGATTTCTAAAAATAGAGCAATTCATATGATCATTTTACTGTGACCTTAATAAAGATAAAATTACACACATTTTTGATGGTGGACCCTAGTTTTCATTACTGGCATGCATACACGCACACACACACACACACACACACACACACACACACACATACGCACAACTAGGATCTAACATAGTCTACAGTCCAGATGACAGTAAACGATAGTGTATTACATAGTTGAAAAAAGACTGAAAGTAGAGCTTAAAAGTGCTCACCATATACACATAATTACTTTCATGATATAAAGACATCAAATAATCATTGTTCACCTTAAATTTATACACTCTCATATGTCAATTATATCTCGATAAAACTCAGAGAGAAAAAAAATACACTCTGAGTAATCTACATCTATACGGTTTAAAAACTCATCCCCAAGGCAGGCATTGTGTCTACGCCTAGCACTCTGACATGACTGGAATTCAACACATATGAATGAATGAATAGAAGACAGACGACATATGAATCATGTTTTAAAGAATCATTTTCAAGATTTCCAAGATTAAATAACAATTAATAATCATTTTCATTTGATATGAGACAATCTAAAAATACATGCAGCAATTTACTAAAGGGATAATATGTAAGTGATGATGATATATATGAGACAACTAATTACTATCTGTGACTCTAAGCCTTACAGTAGCAGATGCAAAGCCAGTAAGCATAAAGCAAAAGCAATTTGTCTGTTTCTCTCTTATTCACTGAGTTAGATTTTTACCCTCTCAAGTTATTTTCCATGACTGTGGCACAGCTGGTGAAGGTAAATCAGGAACATTATAAATTCCCAATTTAGTTTCTCCTAATAAAAATTCAGAGTTATAACCTGCATGACCACAGATAAACACCACTGAAAATACAGCCAGCAAGCCATTTGGTACATTTGATATATATTAATATGTGCACTCGACATAGTTTATTTAGCATTATCTGATGGAGGTGAGGTTATAGGGAATAAAGTGGTAGAAGGTTTTACCGATGTGAACTGGGACACGGTTGACATGCTGTATACTTCATGATAACCACTGCTGTTTAAATATGGTTTCCAAGAAATGGTTACAGTATAAACTAGATTCAAAACATCTCAGTTTGCGATTTCATTCTGTGAACTACACAAAGCAATTATCATATCTTCTTCCCTTTTATGATTCTAACAGAGAATCCACTATGTATAAATAAGGCTATAAATAACTTGTCGTGTGCAATCTTTATACAGTCAGTAGTACAAAATATGAAATAGTAGTTGAACTGTTTGCTTAAAATATGCTATGAACACTTATAATTGTACAGAAAATACAGGAAAACCTTAGCTTTTATGTTTGTTTTTAGACAGGTATCAAATAGAACTTTATATCTATGATTCTGCATCACATGGCTTTTCTCTATTTCACTGTCCAAATGCAAGGACAACAATACAAAGAGTATTAGATGTAGAATTGTATTTAATTCTCTGGTACCCTTAAAACTAATCTGATCCCACAGAATCTATGTTCATTAAGCCAACACACGAAAAGACACCTCAAAATTGCCAACCAGAAATTAAACGTACAGTAAGAAAATTGGCACCAGATTTTCTAGAGATCCACCAAATTAGTTAGACCCTGCTAACCGGTAACCATTGCTTATGTGTTCAGCTTATAGTTTTGAAGCACCAGACAAAAAATTAAAAGAAGAATGAGGAAGTTGAAGTCCCGGGTTAACTTTTTAAATTACTATAAGTTAACAGTGGTTTATTTTTATAACAGTTATTTGTTTTATTCAACAAAAAACACACACAATTCATGTTTTACAAAGTCAGCAAGGAATTCTTTTAAGCAGCAAAATTCTCCTATCCCAATCATAAAGCTTTGAACTTCCAGGTCTCTACAAAACATTTTCCCTCCCAATAGACCACTATCATTAAGCCACACTATCAATTACAGAAAATAAACTCTGGCCCTGAATGGTCAGCACAGGACATTTTGTACACTGCAGTAAGCCTTTTCTGGGTTAGGCCTATGCCTAAATAGAGTATGCTAAAAGTCTCTCATTAATCATTATCCACAGGGACATAAAAAGGAAGAGACTCTTCCTCTGAGCAAGAGACTCAAAAACTTTACTTCTCAGAATCAGGAGATAGTACAGTACAACAGCTAGGGTGCTATGTGACCCAAACTCAATCCCTGGCACCAGAAAGTGCCCCAAGCATTCCCAAGTGTGATTCTGGAGCACCCAGGTGATCCTCGCCATCACAGAGAGTGAACTGCACATGCTCAAGTTCCAACATTGAACTGCCAGCCCAGCTGGTCAGGAATCCCTGGGAGGGGCCCCAGAGATCACCGCACACCAGCTGGGAGTGTTCCTTTCCTGTCACCCTATAAGGCGCACACCTCACCCCAACCCCTGTCCTTTTGAAACAAATTTTATTGCTAGAGTTCACTAACTACATTATAGTAAGTTCAGAGAGGAACCCTTCTCTTGAATATAAACTCAGGAAAGAGCATTAAACAGCATTTGTCATCAGCCAAATTAATAAAA